AAGAAAACATTACGCGCGGGTCGAACTCTTCAGAAGTAATTCAAATATGGAAGGACGGAAACAGTAAAAAATGCCATAGAGTCTCTCTGATCAGACATTTCCCAGGAAGGTCAAAGGGTGGTGTAATTTTCCAACATCGAAAGCTCTTAATTTACAGTCGGTCAGTAAGTCAGTCAGCCAGATTTGATCATCGCACATCCTCTCCGGTCGAAGAGGCAGCAGCGTCTACAACGTTTCCGATCCTGTGCCAACGTTTGAGCTTCGACAGAAGATAACCGGAATCCAAAACAGAGTACGTCGATACAATTGCCCCAGGTTTTTCTTAGGGTAGGGTCTTCGGCCTGTGGTTGAACAGGTAGCAAGTGCTTCGCCACGTTTCTGCAAGCATTAGCAAGTGCTTGCACATACCATCGCAGCCCTGACTTCTCAACCTAGAGAAACTAATTTAAGGATTTTTTACAATTTAAAGCTGTTAGACTCATTCAATCGATCTATTGCTAAGGCTTAATCCTTCATCATGTCGGTGATGTGCCATTTAAAGAATAAGGCTACAATTTACAGATTTTGTACTACTGTGATGTTTTGAAAACCGGCCAGGATAATGTCGAACGCTTAAAATCAATACAACATTTTGGCATCCATTTGTCGGATCTATCCAGACCTGCACCTGCGATACTCATTTCTGACAAAATGGGCGCAAACCGTGATATTCGCTTGATACAAGTGGGGGCACCAAGAATCAGCCTGCTCATTTCCATGAAACACAGCATTCCTCGATTTTGAATGCATGCACCCTGATTTTTTGGGACTTTACTGACATTATGACACCGGTGCCTCCCTGAAACGCACATGATGAATTCATCTAATCCTGCATTTTTCTGTATCTTCACAATTCAGCAGTACAAGATCAAAATTACTGTCATGTACTGCCAAATGAGGCATTACCTCGGGCATCCCCGCCGCAGCTCACGATAGGTGATAAACAGAGTTCTTGACAAAGTACCGCTCAACCCATCTTGTGCTTAACTTTCACTTAATGTATCCACTTTCTGGCGTTGGAAGATATCGTCTTGATTCGTACGTACATTCAAACGACAAAATGTATTCGTCCAGCATTCACTAAATTACATAACCGACTGCCACAGTCATCGTCGTATCATGCTAGCTGATAAATCCGATGAATTTATTCGCCTGATTCACCCCGGAGAGGTTGCGACAGGCAGCTAATGGCGGACCTTGCCGTAATCAGGCAGATTCTCAGAAGCACACTCTTGTTCTGACAGTTTTCACACTTCCTAGAGTCACTGTGAAATGTCAAAGATGTCAGTTGCCTAGGTATGTCACCGTGAACGACTGTAGAGCTGCATTTGATGGAGCCATCGTCCAAACGATGCGGAATATTTTCGCGCATTATAGAATGCGAACTGTGTGC